CCACCCACCCCGGCGCCAGAGTAGCACACCCCCCCCCCACCCCCCCCCCAACCACGCGCCGCGGGGGGCGCGGGGGGGGGGGGGGGGCGGGGGCCCCCGTCCCTCTGTATGTTTTTTAACCCCATCCGCGGGCCCTTCTTGTCCCCCCCCCCCGCTGCTCGGCTCCCCGGGGATGTTGGTGTGCGCGTGTGGGGGGTGTGACATTTGCCTCTGTGGGCGGGTTGGGTTGCAATCCTGCCGCATCCCAGCCGCCCTTTGCTCTCCCCGCGTATGTCTGTATGTCTCCCACGTAGGAAAAGAGCCAGACCCAGAGGGGGAGTCTGTCTGCCAGCCAAGTGCTGCTCCCTGGTGCTCAGAGGCTGCTCCATCTCCAACTCTCTCTCATTCATTTCGCCGGCTAACATGAGAGATCATGGCCGCCTTCGGGCTCCTGAGCTATGAGCAGAGACCTCTCAAACGGTCCCGTTTGGGGCCGCCCGACGTCTACCCTCAAGACCCCAAGCAGAAGGAGGTAAGCCTCGGGGCTTCACTCGTGCCCGCCGCACACCTGGTCCAGGGGAGAAGTTTGCCCGGCGACCACCTGAGAGGGGGAAGGGAAGGGAAGGGAGAGGAGACGGCCAGGCTAGGTGGGTTGGAGGAGGAGAAGACGCCTGTCAGCCTGCGAGCGGAGCTACTCGCAAAGCTGTTGCGGGCCCGGAGAGATTTCGTAGCTTGGAGTTACGGGGGGAGGTTGTATGCCTGCGCGCCGGGCCCTGACGCACTCCAGGGCTCTGTAGTAGATACCCGCCCCCTCCTCCTTTTCTCTTTTCGGTGCACCCCCCCCCCAAACTTTTGACAGACGTCGGCTAGAAAAGGGCGCTTCCCCTCCCCCGCAACACTGACTTGCGTTTTACGCCCCTAAGCGAGCCCCGGGCTACTCCTAGAGCCCAGGTGACTGAGGACACCCCTCCCCCAGCAGGTGGACCGACTTCTCTTCCCTTCCCAAATTCCCGAGTCTTTCTTAAACTGTGCTTTTCTGGCAAACATTGCCTATGGACTAGTGACTTGACATTTGATCAGCGAAGCTGCTTGTCTTAGTCACCAGTCTCCCAAATCAGATGACTTTCAAAACACTGGCACTTAGCATGTATTGTTCCAGCTAGTGGCACTGGGTTGTAACCATGACGTTATGGTGCTGTGTAATTAACAGATAATGGGGGGGGGGGGGAGGTTGTTATAGTGCTCAGTACAATTTATCAAGGGATTCCTTAACTCACCTGCTACTCAATTGCCACTAATTTCTGTCCTCTGTAGGTTAAAGTTGCAAGTTACTAAGAAACTGATAAACTAAGGGCTGCTTTTACTGTGTTACCTTTATGTGGGAGGCCTTAGGAGTCATGTCATTCTGGGTAGGGGCTGTGATGGTGGCAGACCAGTTTTTGCTTGGCTGTGACCATTCCCATAAAAAGGCTGCTTTCGCACCACAGGCCAAATTATAATCCAGAGTTAATGGTCCACACTGGCAGTATTCATGCATATTAAGCCAAAAGAAGCAAACCACATTATGTCTTATCCTGATAGTCTGGTTCATTCAACATGCTCCAACATGTTGTTATTGGTTACTTAATCATAGTTTATAGTACAGCATATTGGGTGAATCCAGGTAAAATCTCTGTTCTAGTAATTTTTAGAAAGCGATGTTATACTAGAACTTTGTGCTATTGGAGCAGTTCTTATGCTATGTAGTTTGAAACTCCTATAATTCCTGCAGGAAGTAATCATAAAAATAACTGTATATACAAGTTGCGCTATAGAGGTCTTTTTTGTGTGTGTGTGTGTGCCTTCAAGTCAGTGTTGATTCCTGGCAACTGCCTGGACTAGTCCTTGCAGTTTTCTTGGCAAGGGTTTTTGGAAGTAGTTTGCCATTTTCTGCTTCCTAGGGCTGAGAGAGAGTGACTGGCCCAAGGTCACCCAACTGGCTTCTTGCCTAAGGTGGGACTAGAACTCATGGGCTCCTGGTTTCTAGCCTGATGCCTTAATTACTACGCCAAACTGGCTCTCACTATAGAGAATACATTTAATATAAACTCTATGGGGTAAGATATCCAATCGTCAGATATCTGATGAAAGATGAACAATGAAACAGTGCTTGGGTGCAATGAAAAGGATACACGTTTCACATATTGTTCTGTAAATAAGCTAGGTATTGGGTCCAGATGGGTTATTCTAAAGGTAAAGCATAAGTGTGCCATGCAGAATTGTAGTCAGCAGCTGATAAGAATTGGCCATAAGATATATGTATATATATATTTACTGTGATGTTGTTTAAATTGTGTTATGGTAAACTGCATCTACTATTTTTAAAAATAATTTTTATTGAAGATTTTAATTACAACAGTAAAAGCAAATACAAACTAAACTCAGAGACAGAAGGAGAAATAGAAGAATTAAAAAGTACAAAGAAAGAAAAACAAGTAAGATAAAGAAAAGAAATATATAAAGAAGTTACTTCCAATCTTCTTCACAAGTATAAACAAACTTCATAACTCTCCACTACCTATAAGGTTACAAACAAATATATTTTTCCCCATAACCCATCCATTCTCTATATGCAAATTCATAAATTGTAAGCTTTTCAGTCCTGGTGTCAGCAAAAAGTCTGCAAAGGGTTATCAGAGCTTTATAGAAACATGTCTTATTTTAACCTTGATCAAATAAATCAACTTTATGTTCCTTCCTTTTACTTCTGACATTCTTGGTCTTAAATTCATTCAGATGTGTTGTAGGATTTGGTCTCTGTTCAGTTTTTCTTTTTCCTATCCGGAAGGCTTCGAGGCTTTAGCAAATCTCTTTTGTAAGTCCAGTAAAAAGTTATCCAAGCCATTCTCTTGGTTTATCATTTGTATTTCCACTTTGATTTTCAAAACTTTAACTAACTTTTGTAAATTCAGTAGAAAGTCCTTATTCATGTCATTCTCTTGGCTTGTCATTTGTTCCACTTTAGCTGCCTTCTTTGTCTTATAATCCACACTTTTTTGTTATCCAGTATTTCTGGTTCGTATTTCTGCATCAGGCAAAATTTGTTTTATATCTGTCATTCCTTCATTAACATCTTTTGGACATAGTCTTATCTATAGAGGCAGACATAATTTCTGACAGTGTAGCTCCTAATTTCTGGCCCCATTCTTTGAAAATCTCCTGGAGTATTTCCAGCATTATGACATTTTGTGTCATTTGTAAATTCCCTGTACTAACCAAAAACTAAAGGCAAGTTTACACTCTTTTTCTCCTTTTCCTTTTCTGCCTGAAATCTTTAGTCCCCTGTAGTGTCCAGCTTCTGAAATTATAAAGTCTCAAATCTCTGTTATGACTTAAGACAGATGAAACAATTTGGCTCCCACAAAAAGCTGTTTATTTTGTAATTATTTCCAAAATGTATAGTAAAAGTATAAATATTCCAAATTTGTCTGGACTCTTAATTCATTTATAACTTTATTGAATTAAAGTCTTATTTAGTTTTTTGCCATTTATTTCCAATTCTTTAAATTCTTAAACTTATAGTTAATTTTTCTTTTGTTCATGAAGGAAGATATACTTATCAGGTGGCTTTTCAAACTCATTGTTCCAAAGTTCTCTAATAGCCTTAAGATTGCTAAATAGACAATTTCCGAAAGTGGTTAGAAAGTGAGGTTAGTGAACCCGGTGTCCTTTAAAAGGCTCCACCGCAGTTGTGAGCACGATGGCTGATCCCTTTGTCTCCCAGCACTCAAACCCATGGGAGACTCCTGCCCTGCGGTCTCCTCGCGAGGAGCAGCTGTCCATAACACATGTGGGCAACCTTCCATCCTTTCCTTATCTGGAGAGGTTCTGAAGAACTGGTTTACTTGCCAGTTCTTCAGTCTTTGCCATAGCCATCGTCTAAGATGTGCTTAGTTTGCCATGCCTCTCCTGGAAGTCAGTGTTAACTGCATCTACTATTGATATAGTCAGTAATGATTCCTCCGCTGGGCAGGGAGTTTAACAAAATGGTCTCCAAGGTTTCTTCCAACCTTTATATTCTGTTTCTAATACATAAATTGCATTATCCACTGGATTTTTTAGCCAAAACTTTCTGTTAAGTAAACATTTTAAATCTCTCTTAAATGACTTTTGTTGGTAATTTCCACTTTCGATGATCCACAGAAAATGTATAAAAACTTTAATGTATGGATGTAATGGTGTGTGGGAATGACCTTGGGAGACAGAGGGAAGAGCCACAGCCAGGGGAATGGTTGGATAAGAGGCAGCTTAGTCTGCAGAAGGAATATGGGCATGCCAAACATCTCAGAAGGGACTCTCCTAATTTCTTGGGCTGTAAAAGCAATGGGGGAGAAATGTACTTTCAGACTTGCAAGATTATGTTAATATAACCTTACAATAAAGTAGAATTAGTTCATCTGGGTGTGCTTCCTGTCTGGACTACCTCGCAAGGCTGACAGTGGGATTCTTACAATCTTTTGCATCTGGGGTTGGTAAACCAGATTTCATCTTTGTCTTAGCATTTGCCAAGATAGGTTGGAAAGTATTCTGAGCTGTAGAGAAATCTTGATGCCATTTTATAGTTCAAGTTTTCCAAAACACTTCAGAGTTATAATACTGAAGATCTTTATTTATCTCCTCAGACTTTCTATTATTAAAAATACCCATATGGAATGTGAAAAAATATGCTTATTTTTCAGTTTTTAATACCTTTGTCTCATGTTATGTAGGGATAAATTGACTGTTTTAACACCTATCAATTTATAGAACAGTAATATTGTGTATTATATAATAATATAATGTCAGCTGATCAGTATATTGTTTGCTACTATTTTAATAATAAAAACTGGGAATTGTTAAATAGGTATATCTTAGGAAGTACAATAAAGTTGATATTTATATCACTGGAGTCTCCAACAATGAATTCTAGTCTTGTCACTTAATTTGATGTATGTATGTATGTATGTATTTAGAGTACCATATTTGCATGCCATCCAACTTCTTAACATTTCAGAGTGGCTTACAGAAATACAACTTTCAATCCTTGGTATGATTTCATGTTTTGATTATCAAAAACTGTTATGCCTGAAACAATAGTCTTTGACTCTCAGTGATTTCTTGGCATCTCTCTTCACAGAGATTTCAATTCAGCTGTGGTTTCATGGGCTTGTATTCCCTTAGTTCCTATTTAATCCACTCTCTATGTATTAATGGTATAAATACAAACTCCCAGAATTCCAAATTAATCTGATGTAATGTATCAGACTTGTGTTTGCAAACCATTTTTAGCTATAATGTGGTTGGTTTGGTTTGGCTTAGGTTGTCAAGTAAATTTAGCCATTGTGGTTGTTAACCATTGTCTGTGGCTTAATGTGATGCTTGAGCCTAATCAATAGTCGTGTATTTGTATAACATTATACAATTATTAACATTTAATACAGTTTGTGTAGGGCTAGTTCTTTAAGTACATGCACGTTCATCTGCCCTTGCCTCACTTTCTCTTTAATATGCCAT